TGCTTTACCCTATTCCCAAAAATATGTTGAAATATAATACTTGGAGGAAAATCACTTACGAGTTTAATCTTGGCACAGATTGCAAATGTTTTTAAGTAACCTACTCAACATTTTATATGCATGTTAGTATATTCTCCACTTCACCATAGTTGATGGATTTCAGAGATTTAATAAAGCATAAAGTTGATTCCATAGGACTTGTAATTTCTGATTTGGCATCTGTCACTAGATGGATGCTCTCCATTCAAAGTGGGTTAGGGCACGAGAAAATTATGGGGAGCTCTGATGTACATAGAAAAGCATAATATGTTTTGTCCATTATCTCCTACTAAAATTTCAATATATATACTTTATCTCAGTTGAAATGTTTTTTTTAAAGATGACATCCTAGAAATATTTGGACAACCACTTTAAATTCATTTAGAGAACCACTGCAAAGATTGAGTTCATTCCTATGAGTCTCAGTTTTACTGAAAAATGCTATAACAGAGCTCTGCTCAATACACATCTGTTACGTGTTTATGAACTAAGTGGTTTAACGTGTAAGGAAATCTCATCTGCTTGATGTGTTCCAAGTACTGTTTTAATCCTCTGTTGAGAACTAAGTTGAGAACCATTATCAAAATAATGCAGATTTACTATGAAGTAGAAACTGTTTTATTATGAAGAAGAATCATGAATAATTAATGTGTTTGTACACAATATATAAACACCCCCAAAAGAAGAAAGGTCTTCTAGGGTATTCTCAATTGAAATTTCTTAATGGAAGGCACCCAGCACGGGCTCCTCACATTTATGAGAGCACCCCCTTCAGCCAGGTTTCCGTAAAGAACAACAGATCAGCCTTCTCAATCATTAATGAATCACGTGTGAGGAAGCCCTCATTATAAACTGACCTCTGCATTCAGTAGAAGTAGCCATTGAGGCTGGGTCAACAATGCTGCAAAATAGCATTAGCACAAGTATTGGGTCTGTATTTCTAAAGAGTAGCTCAACCACCATATCTCCAACCATTGCTAAATCAATGTTCCTGCCTGACCATAACCTCCTTGAGGCAAATGCAATGTGCATACAATCTTTTAAAACAGTCTTTCCCAACCTTTCCGGATTTGCGAACTGGGAGGGGGGAGAGTTCTGTGCGAGCAATGGGCAGAGACCATTTGTACAAGTGGAACTGCATACACGCACATGCTTGCTTGCTGCATACGTGGCCCAATACTGGGCCATAGCCTGAGTAAAATGATAATGGCAGATTATAATGATTGTGATAAAATAATAGCATCTGACAAGTAAACGTTAGCCAAGAATTTACTTGGGTACTATAAATTTATATCATTCAAAATGCTCTCATGTGTGGGACTCACAATATTTATTTGCAAAGCAGAAAATTTTAAAAAGGGGTCCTAACTATAAAGAGTCTAGAAAGGAAATTGCCATATGTCTTTCTTATTCAATACGTATTTAAAAGTAGAGAAGTAGAATAAGTTGATGGAATAAATGAAATAGAGCAATAAATATTGTTTTCTTTGTGACTCACATGTACAGAAAAGCCTTGATCCTTTTTTTTACTCACAAATGACATATTTAGAAATATTTTTAGAGAAAGGTACATAAGACATAGTAATCTCATCAAAAAGTATCTAACATTTGTTCAAGTTCTAGAACAATTCATTGCTAGTCATGTAAACAAATAAAAAACCTGAAACAGTATTATTTTTATAGTTGAAAGTTGCAATCCTATGCAAACCTGCTGGGAATAAATCTCACTTCTCAGTTAAATTCAGTAGAGTTTATTTTTATATGTATACAACGGGAGTATGAGGAACATATGAATATGCAATTAACTCTTCCGCTATAAGAAGAAGGATGAAAGGGGAAAATAGAACAGCATGAATTAAATTCAGCTAATTCGACATTGGATTCAACTCTATAAATACAAGCCATAAGCTGTTTTTCCTGAAGGCAAAATAAGTTAGGCCAATTTTAGACTAAATAGCCTGCCTTTGGAAGAAATGAGCCTATCAAGTTTACAATAGATAGTGCTTAATGGTTGATAAAATGCCAATTTTAAATTGATATGTACACAGAAAGTATAATATGCAGAGTTAAACCTATTTAAGATAGATATACCATAAATACTGTGAAAACAACAGAAGGGTCAATATTATAGACTTCCTTGTTAAAAAACATGGGTACTTTCTAAGCTTATCCTGAAGATTTAAGTTTTTCTTTGTTTCTCTGTGTTCCTTCCCACTCGCCCTGTTTTCTTCTTGCTATATATTCATTCACTTTTGATTCTCTATTTACAGTACATCTCCACATTCCTATCCATCTCAACTGCCATTTTTGTCTGTGGGGTTGTTTGTTTTGTCTACTCCATTTAGGGACAAGGTCCAATTATATTCAGAAGACTATAATAATTTATTGATAAGGATGACACATGAGAAGTTTCCAAAGCTTCCAAATGTTGAATAACACCAAAAAAAGGAAGCACAACACTAAGCTAAACTACAACATTTAGTAGAAAACAATTACAAATAGTTCTCAACTTATGACCATAGTTGAGCCCAAAATTTATGTTGTGAAGAGAGACATTTGTTAAGAGTTTTGCCCCATTTCACAACCTTTCTTGCCACAGTTGTTAAGTGAATCACAATAGTTGTTAAGTTAGTTATATGTTTGTTAAGTGAATCTTGTTTACCCACTGACTTTGCTTGTCAGAAGGTCGCAAAAGATGATCACATGATCCCAGGACCCTGCAACTGTCATAAATGTGAGTCAGTTGCCAAGGGTCTGAATTGTGTCCATGTGACATGGGGACGCTGCAACATTTGAGTGAAAAATGGTCTCAAGTCACATTTTTCAGTGTTGTTGTAAGGACTGTACAAATCACTACAAAAGTGGCTGCATTACTCTAAGCATTACCTGAATCAAACACCTCCTTCAGATTCTGTTGAATATCCAGAAGCAACTTCCATTAAAATTACTTTTCTATATATAATCTACAGCAGATTAAATACATCAAGTGACAACCTACACAAAGCATATGACAATTATTTCACAGAAGATTTTTTTTTTCCATCAAAAAAGCATTGGCAAGTCTTAAAATAAAATAATGCTGAATCTGCATTGGCAGTTGCTGGAAAACACAGATCTCAAATTAAGCTTTTCTGCACAAGAACCCCCCGTTTCTTCCTACTTTGAAATATGGGGTAACCTTAAAAAAAAAGTCCTTTGGTATTGTACATTAAAAATGTAGCTTCCACACTAATGAGGACAGACTTAGCCAAGTACATGGACCTATGTTATATGTAAAAAATAAGAGAAATGGAAAGAGAGAAATTGCAAATTTAAACGTAATGACCGAAAACGTATAGTTATTTCCTTTAGTAGCAGACAAATGCAAAGAAGATTTTCAGAACAGCAGCTCTTTTGTTCTTGCCTACTGTATTATGTTATATTTATACAACTGCGGATCAAGTAGTTGATTAAATGCACACGCAGCATAGTACTCTTCCTGTATCAAGATAATACATAAAGTAATAAGAAGCTCTGGAAAACATCCAGTTACAGTAAAGAGAAAATAATGTATAGGATCTAACAGAAAGGTCCCTACATCACTGTAATTATTATACTTTTTTAACATTACGTCAAAATGTACATGTACCTAATTATATCCTTATGGTACTATGCTTTTTTATTCGTTTACCCCTTTTAAATAAGAAATGAAGAATTTAAATTCCAATTTAGGTGTTTTAAAAAAAGCATTCATGTATATACTGCTTTTCTTTAGATTTGATCATTCCCCACTTTTTTGGGCTTCTGCATTCAAAGCAATGTAATAAATTGCTTTAAACCCTAATTGTTCTACCATTCAGATATTAAGTGTCTCTCAACTTTCAGATGTTTGCTGCTGCTAATATAACAGGTTAGGTTATCCTAAGATGTTATTTATATGTGTGACTATGATTAAATTCCAAAAAAAAAGTAATCAAGTGTTTAATTAAAACTTAGTTGGCAACTTGTACATCTAGTTCAAACCTAATCTTTCCTGTATCTTTAATTCATCAGATCTTTCACTGTGTCATTCTCCTCTTGATCTGGAACATGCTTCCCTTTAGCAATCCAACACTGCCTAATTTCATCTTTGCTCAGCCATTTTTCTCTTTCTCCTCTCAACCAGTTCCAGCCAGGTTAACACTCTACCAGCTCCTTAGCCCATTTCGACTCCCCACATCCGTCACAGACTGTATGTATTTGAGAAAACATCTATTTCTATGTCCCAAAGTTCTTTCCTCAGTGTGAGATTATCACCTCATGTACAGTTTGTATTAGAGGTGCGTTCCTACAAGTTTGGACCGGTTTGGCTAAACCAGTACTGGTATTGGAGGCCTGTGTCCCTGGAACCGGCAGCGACCCAGGCCTGCCATGACCCCAAATCAGTTGGTGGGATTCAAAATTTTTCACTACCAGTTCTGTGGGCATGGCATGGCTTGGTGGGCGTGGCAGGGGAAGGATACTGCAAAATCCCCATTCCCTCCCCACCCCACTAACCTGCTTTCCAGTTCCGTTCTCCTGTTCAGGCAACAAAAGAAGATCAGCTGGAAAGCTGGGAGGCAGCGGGGGCAGGGCCAGCCTATCTGCTGGTTCTCCAAACTATTCAACCACTACCGGTTTTTCAGAACTTGTCAGAACTGGCTGAATACCACCTCTGGTATGAATCAAGTCACTGTGGTTTGTTATTATTTTTTACAACACAGCATATTCTGCATTTGATTGCAGTTTATTCAATAAACCATAATTGTCAGGTATTCAATTGGTCACTCTATCGATCAACACTTTCCATGCCCCTCTGTCTCACACAACCTTCTTCAGATCCACCAGGGTCATTCTAGTGTCATCCTTTATAGTGTCCAGACAATAACAAAGGATGATACCAGATTCAATAAACCACTGGTAGGCAAATTAAACCACACAGAAAATGAGAAAAATATCCATACCTTGCCATTCCAAGACTGGAAAAGTTCAATGGAACTATCAAAACATCAAGCCGGGAGAAGGGATGCGTACCCAGCAGATCATACGCCGCAGAGAGACACTGAGGAAGCAGGTGGAGTAATTTTTTTTTGCAGGAGTCCTTAAGGCACAAAGGAGCAAAGATGCGATGAGGAATAATAACCTGAGCAGAGGTGATAGGATCTTGGAAGCGACAAGGATATGGTGTATGACCACAAGCCTTTTCTAATAACCTGGCAGAGACAAAGAAGTCACTGAATGTTGATTTTTTTGAAAAAAAATATGTTATGAGCATTTGAAGAAAGTTCAGCAAAAAGTAGCCAAGAATTTTGTGTTATTTGTTCATACAACGTTAAAGGGAAACATTTGGATCAGAGAACAATTTCTTTCATTTGATAATCTTTTTCTTCATCTGCTATACATCCAATTCAGAATCTCATCAAGGCATGAAAAATGTGGTTGAGTAAGTTGCTCAAAATTATTGCTAGTACCTCTGCAGGGATTTCAAATATTGTTATCTTTTGTCTCTCCATCACTTGCCCTTCACCTCTGCAAATTTAGGCAGTGAAATAATTTTAATGCCCTAAACTACTCAATAATCATGAACACCTCAAGTTAGGATGCTCTTAGAGTTATCTGTTGCAAGAAATTTTCATCTTTATAAAGTTTTTCCAGAAGAATATGAAAGTTAGTTCTTCTACAGTCAGTGAAAACCACCATGATAACAAATCTGATAATTATAAAAACAAAGGACAGATTGAAGCAAGCCAGGGCACAGAAAAGAAAGGTATAAAACATAAGAAGGGTTGAACTGTTTCTATATACATGACTTGTTGAATCATAGTAGTTGCTGAATTTTTTTGCTTACGACCTCTAACATTTTTGAAATAAATATTACTTTGGTGAAGTTCTTGTAAGCTTGACTAAGTAATTTTTCCTGCTTCTGGAAAAAACCTAACAATGAGATTCTATCATGCAGTCATCCTGTCCTATTCATAGAATTTTACAGGAAGTAAATTCTTTCTTCCATTTATAACCCTATCGTGTTTTGTCATTAAAAAGGGGGGGGGATATTTGGAGGAGAAAAATGGATTAGTACCACAATGTCTTTGATTTGGTATAGTTAATTAACTATTTTAACCCCTTAACATATTTCCTGATTTTAAAAAATGGCTATAAAAACAGCAGTTATGGTTTCTTTTACAGGTACACTTTTGTTTATCATCTGCATATAAGTCAATAAATTATTGATATGCAGATAGCCTAATTTATGTTTCCAAGCCAGAAGGGTGTACAGTCACAACATATTAACACTTTTTTTACCAAATTTCTTTGAATAAACTTTTGATATGAAACCAATAATCCAGAAGCAGTGGTTATATCAGATCTGCATTCTGCAACATGCTTTTAGGGGGTACCATCATTCTACAAATATATGAACGATTAGAAAGATTAGATTAGAAAGATTAGAAATGTAATTTTTCAAACCAAGAGTGAAAAGATGGAAACATGAATGGGATTTTAAGAGACAGTCTGCTAAAATATGAAGAAGGGATGACAAAAATATGATATAGGAATAACAATAAGCTTCATCAAGCAAGGCTATAAAATAGATGACATTTTTTACCGTGCAAAATAATAAGCAATCTGAAATTTAAAAGAAGAAATAAAAATGGATGCTTAAAAACCTTGTTTTAGTAGGCCTCAATGAAAATTCACCTATTAAGCAATCCATTTGTCTTTGCTTTTAAAGCCTTTGTAGTGACAACTGCAATCATGTACTTGTTAACCTCAGTGTTAGAAACTAACATGGTTTGAATTATTTAAAAGTAACCACATTGTAACTGAAAAAACGTATAAGAGCTATAAAGTTTAAGTGTTCAACTTGCGCACTATGGAGCTGAAGTAAACCACATAAATAGCCATGCTCTTTTTCAAAGAACCCTTCCTTTCTGTAAAAGCAACACACCCTTGCCCATCCTCTTTCAGGGGATTGTTTCTCCTCTACAATTTCTTCTGCTTTGATTAAACATGTTCCACTATTGTTCCTTGACTAGGATGACTCATTTCTTTTATAATAGAAAAAAACCTGAATGCTCTGTAAAGTACATATTTTTCAGCTGTAATCACCAACCTGACATCCCCTTTTGAAGACAGCCCATCATTCTTCAGAACATCAGTTTCATAACTTTTTCTTTTAACTTCTGCCCAACATCCAACAGCAATAGCAAAGGTGGATGCTGGCATTGGCATTGTCACATAATAAAACCAGCTTAACACACCTAAGGAAAAAAACATGTAGATTATGTTATCCGTCACGTTTGCTCACCGTTCGTTAAATCTAAAAACATCTAACATGGTTCAAGTAAAGCCTGAAATATAGATGTGTTTTGGTTTTAATGTTTTATTTTAATGTTTTAATTGAATAGTGGCACTATACAATTAAGTTTTACAAAGAGAAAATATTACCTAAAATGGAATGCAGTGCGGGACCCCCCTGAAATTTCCAATTGCTATGCAGATGCTGAAGATCTGCTCTAGAGTACCCTGGGATCTAGATCAGAATTTAGATGCATAAAGGGTGATAACATGGTAGAAGATCACGAGAAAGTCTTATAGTGGATTTAGTAGTGGATTTCTATGTTGTGATATGAAATTTCACAGACTTTTTAAATGGTGAGATTTCTTGCCTAATTTATCTGATGTGTAAGATGTTAGTGAAACTACTGAGTGCAATGCAATGTTTCAGGAATGGATGAAATTGATTTTTCCTTGCTCCATACAGTTTTTGGAATTCCTAATTCCTAAGTTGGGGGAGGGGGGAATGTTGAATGTAGTGGGAGAGGATAAATGCATATGCTGTTGTCCAAGGGGCTTATTTTGGGGGGGGCTTATATTTTTGCCCATGGCCTTATTTTCAGGACATGTCATATTTTTGGGAAAACATGATATAATAAATTAAGTAAATAAAAATACTGCAATAAACAAATGTTCTGTAACATTCCTTCATTTTGCTTAACATGCATCAATTTCATCTAATGTAATTATTCAAGAGCGTTCTTCTATACCATTATATGTTTGTTTTCTACAAAAGTTGCAAATTAGGCTCCATTTTCCCCAATAAATGTATTTTGCAGTGATGTAAAAGAAATTCACCATGTATTTGAAATTCCAGGATTTATAAAATGCACTACGCAGATTAATGCACTTTTGCAGTGGACCCACTATGTCATCATAATCCATAATCACCTATCTTATAGTGTTATTAGAAGGAACTCTGTCTATGTATTGTGTATGAACAGTTCTGAACACTCTAAAACTAGTACTGTAATCTGAGAGTAGCAGTCTAAATGCCACTGTCTGTGAATACATATAAAAGAATATGGGAGAGAGGAGAAGGGAGGGAGGAAGGAAAGATATTTTACTGGGGAAGAAAGGACTTCTCTTTTACTAAAAATAGGGTACTTTAATTATTGGCAATTGGTTGGCTTCTCCGCTCCAAAAAAATCTAAATTAATGGCCAGATACACTGTTCAGGACATTTCAGACCCATTCCTGTGGTCTCTTATTCTGGCAATAAAAACACAGAGAGGAAAGAAAAAGCTACAGGAGCCCCACATCAGCAATTTTGTGGTCAAATGCAAGTTAGGTGATTAAAAAGGAAAATCTGTCAAGTGTATCTTTGGGACTGAAAAGTTTCAGACCTTTACAAAGCTAAAGGACTATCTAAATGTTAATGATTACTTTAGATTCATTTCTACTTAACCGTTGTTTAGCTACTGTACTGTAACTATGATGCTCATCGGTAATAGAAAGTTTCAGCCTACTTTCCCATGTAGCATTTTAAATCGTGTGCAACTTTCCCCCAAAATTATATAAAACAGAAGTATTTGATAATTCTTCTCTTCATTTCTCTTTATCTCTAACTACACTGTTTCCAAAAAAAAGTGCAAGAAACAAACTAAACTAAAATTATTTTCTTTAACTTTATGTTTTCCTCTTTTCTTCCTCTTTACCTTTCTGTCCAGAGTGTTAATCCACTATTTTACTACATATATCTATTGGGACCCTGTGAGGCTCCCTTGGATATAGCACCACCTAGGGTAGAACATATACATATACATATACATATACATATACATATACATATACATATACATATACATATACATATACATATACACATACATATTTATGAAAGAAAGAAAAAGAATTTCATGTAATACAACAGAAACACAGAAATCCATAAAATATCGATGTGCAACATATTTGTTAAAAATTAGAAGTGAATTGCTTCCCATGAATATGCTGTATTAATAATTTTTGTAGCAATCAGTTCTCAACATCATTTCTATATGAAAATTTACATATAAATAACGGGAAAAAATCCCATTTATTTACAAACTACACAAATTATGTCAGATAATTTTCAATACTGTATCTATAAATTTAAAATGTTAACCGAATTAATAATGCAGGAATCATTTGTATTTCAAGTTCTCTCATTGAAAATTCACCCAGTTTTTGATAGTATTATTGGGGTGCTCCATTTATTTTTTTTCCCTTTTACCCCTCTTACTAGAATATTTTTTTAAGTATCTCAATTATATTTCAATTTACTTCTTATTATCTGCCTTGTGAATGGATACACTGAGAAGGGCATAAAGTGACTTTTAAAAGACATTTAATATATTTTAATAATATATTGTCATATGTAATATAAGAGAAATCCAGCTTTTTATCATTTCTACTGCATTGCAATTAATTTAGTCAAGATTAAAACCCAAATATCTAAAAAGCCTAAAGACTGAAAAAGAAGCGATAGTTATTTTAACTCCTATTTATTAAATCTGTTAAGAGGCTTTTTCTTGAACCCAGCAACATAATTTGAAGTGAAATATTTTTACATTTTGAAGGAGCAAATATCTCTTGATGATTTGCCTAGAACTATTCAGCAGTTTTCCAACAGATATTTCGATAGAATTTTTTTTAATGTCGATTAATATGAAACTGGAGAAAAACAACAGATGCTCTAAAAACTGCAAATGCAGCACACTCTTCCCCATATCTGAAGGAGGAAGAGATTTTTGAAATTGTGACAATAACTTGTTTCTGGAAAAAATATTACTGGACTGAAAGTTTATGGCTGCGTAAAAAGCTGGATAGAGTTGAAAATGAACTGATAACATCAATGGAAAACACTTTAGTGAAAACTCCTCCAAAATTAACATTTGTTTCTGGAACTTCCAATTCACCCCTGAAATTCCCAGCCAGTAGGATTCAATTTTTTTTACTACCATTTATGTGGACGTGGCTTGGTGAGCATGGTTAGGCTTAGTGGACATGGCTTGGTGGTGTGGCAGGGGAAGGATACTGTAAAATCTCTATTCCCTCCCCACTCCAGGAAAAGGTTACTGCAAAATCCCAATTCCCTCCCTATCAGCTGGGAGGCAGAGAATAGATGGAGGCGGGGCCAGTCAGAGATGGTATTTACCGGTTCTCCAAACTATTCAAAATTTCCACTACCAGTTCTCCAGAACTGGTCAGAACCTGCTGAATACCACCTCTGAAGTGAGGACACAACAAAGGATGGAAACAAAGGGTGGGTTGCTCCTGGTTTGGCCTGGTTTGGCTGAACCGGTAGTGGCAGAGGCGGGAGGAAGCTTCTGCACAAGCGCGTCGCGTGCACAAACACAAACTGGTGGTAAACCCGTTAGCAACCCACCACTGATAGAAACTAAAGGAAATTCATATTGAATGTTAAGAGGAATTTCTTTTTCTTTTTCATTTTGCCAAACAAAAAATACAAATTCAAACAAAGAAAATTAGAAAATCAAATTGTGACTGGGATAATAGGCACGCCAATGTACTTACACATGCGCCCTTAGGGATCTCTTAAATATGGAATGAGGTACACAGAAGTTAAATTAAAATTAAAACTGTTAGTTCTTTTTTATTAACTTTTTTTAACTATGAAACTTTTTTATTAGTTTGTAGTATAAAATACAAAAATGCAAAAACCAACAATAGGAAAAATAGGGGAGAGAAGAGGGAAAGGAAGAGTGTAGAAAAGTAGGGAAAATGACCTTTCTTGCCACAGTTGTTAAGTGAATTATTGCAGTTGATAAGTTACTAACCCGGTTGTTAAGTGAATCTGACTTCCCCATTGACTCTGCTTATCAAAACATTGCAAAAGGGGATCACATGACCCTGGGACACTGCCACGGTCATAAATATGAACATCAAACCTTGACTTTTTACTTTTACATTATAAAATAAACTAGCCATTTCTATATCAATAATTTGATCGGTAAAATTCAAACTCAAAATTTCACTTTTTCCCCACCTCAAGCATATAGTCCAGAAGTTGTTTCCAAGTAGAAACAAAAGTAGTTTTTTTTTCTTTTATCAAAGCAGTCAATTTAGCCATCTCCGCTAAACTATGAAAGTTCTTGATGGTAAGAGCAGTTCAACATTTGAACAGTATTTATCAATTCCCAAGCTCTACAGGTTTACAAATGGAGTCTGGAAGGCTACCTGCGAGGCATGAATTAATGGATTTCTGCATGGAGCAAGGGATTATACTAAAATTATCTATGGATTTCTTCCACTTCACGTATTTTATGCTTATAGAAATGTAATCTTTCCCAAATCTTAAAAACACAATTCATACCCATCACATTATTGCCTTGCAGGATAATACAAAATGTGGAAGGAATAAGAAACTGTCCCCCAGAAGAAGGCATAACTTTATGAAAAATGACTTCCGCGGGTTTCAGATGTCATGCTCAGTTGCAGTTAACAGAAACAGAAGCTAAATCTTCTAGAAAAAGGAGGCAGGGAAAACTATCCAAACCTTAGACTCACAAATATCTATTCTCACAACACTAAATTACTGTTGAGAGCAGGAGTTTTTGAAGTAGGTACAGCCTGAGCTTCACTGACACAGAGAAGTAAGGTAGGAGCTATATATCTTCTCTAGGAAGAAAATATTTGTCACTCCAACCAGATAAAGGAGGGTGGTGGACGTTTAATCCTGTCCTGAACTGTTGTCACTTCTTGGATAGGGGCCAGTCAACTGCCTGTGGCCAATAATGGTCTGTAGCATGGCAGTAACAGGAGGAACAGATATCCCCACTTTTAATCTTCCTTTAAATTCCCATTTGGCAACTTCCCTCAATCTACCTCAACAAACAGTTGGGGGGAGCAAAAGGCAAGGAAGGTGAGGCCAGCATTGCACAGTACCTACGTGTTCTCTGAGGAGAAAAGGAGCAGAGACAGATAGTGGTGTAGCTCAGGAAACTCCAATGATCTTAGCTAGGAGGAGACTAGTGATGTACAGGCAGGGGAGGCAGAGCCTCACCACTGTCATCATGAAAAGAAAAAAAATGTAAAAGGAAAAAGGCGAGAGCTGAGATCAGGCTGAGCTAATTGCTGCCAGAGTCACTGTGGATGACTCTGCTTAGTGCTTACCTGTTTAAAAAAGGCTCTAAAAAGTGCCCTTTACAGGAGGAGGCAGGAGAACGACGTGCCTCATCTAATCTGACTTTAGCTGTTTTATGATTACTCGAGCAGAGTTAAGCAAGGGTTAAAAGCCTAAAAATTCCTGACGTAGGTGAGGCATATCGTTCTCCTGCCTCCTCCTGTAGAGGGCGCTTTTTAGAGGCTTTTCTAAACAGTTAAGCAGAGTCATGCACGGTGAGGCAGCAACTAGCTCAGCCTGACCTCAGCTCTCGCCTTTTTCCTTTTACATTTTTTTTTACTTTTCATGATGACAGGCAAGAGCAGAGTTGAAATCCTCTCTAAAACAGCTAGAAAAGGTACTTGTGGGTCGGAGGGAGGAGTAGGAATTCAAACTTCATCCTCCTGGTGCGGTCCAACTTGTGTGTGTATGTGTGTTTGGGGGGGGAGGAAGGAGGGGAAGGGAGAAGAAAAAGAAAGAAGGAAACTTATTTCACAAAGAAGAAAAACAAATGCTGTCGCTTTAAATCGGAACTGAGCATGCCTGGCTGCGGAATTCTGGGAGTTGAAGTCCACAAGTCAAAAAAAATTGTGTCAGTGCCTCACCTGCCATAAATCTCACTGCACGTCACTGGAGGGGAGTGTGCGCCTCATTGAAAAGAAGAGAGGAACACTGTCCCTACCCAAGTGAGGATGTGCTCCCGATATGCCCTCCACCAGCCAAGCTCTACTGACTGTGGTCCTGGGGAAGAAACTGTGCACTCTCTTCTAAGCTTTTCCATGCTCATTGGTGAGAAGCTGTATTAGTTTTGGGAGTAGAGTAGTCTGAGCACAGCTTTGGCCAACTGTTCTTCCTAGTAAGTGATCTACCTGCTGTGTATCTCAGATAGAAGGATCTCAATTTCTGGCCAGTTTCTGGCCACTTCCCACCAATCAATGGATCCATGATCAATTAGATGAGGCTTATGCTCAAATCTTAAGCCAGAGTCAATATTTCCCCATTAAGTATCAAATGCCAATTGCTTTTTTCTGTGTCAAATAATACATGGTTTTTAGCTCGGCTTTTATTAAATATAATCTGAATTTGAGCTAAATTTTCAAAAAATAGAAGACAAAACATGTTTTTTTTAAACAAGAAAACTGCCAAAATAATTTTTATTACTTGGCAGAACTGAAAATACTGTTCAGTCACAGTTGCCTCTTCTGAGAAGACAAATCCTGCCAAGCTTCAGATTATTAGATTTAAGGATTTTGTATTTATTCAGCAACAACCAAAACAAATATTGATGTTCTGCTTTAGAAAAAATGCTGCTAGATAGGTGGTCAAACTATAATGGTAAAAAAAAACCCTGATTTGCAGACTCTTGTAATGAATAAATAAATGTTTAATGTTTAAAAGTACCCATGGTACTTTTCATAATATTCAAACATTTCCGGCTCTTGTGCTAAGAAACTAGTCCTCGAGGGCTCTCATGAGCATTTGAGTTTGGACCACTGGTTCAGAGACATATTTGAATGCTGCCTAATTTGCTGATCTGATTTGCTTAAAATGAAAGCACCCATTCTGTATAAAGTTAAGAATCTGCAGCAAAGAGAAACAATTACTTTAAATTATTACTTTAAAAATTACTCTATGAAGTAATAAACAATTTTAATGTTATTTTATTTATTATTAAATTTATTGGCTGTTCATCTCATTACAGGGTGAGATGTAGTTTATCTAACAGTAGACGTCAAACAGAAAAACACAATGCAAAACTGATGCAACTAATGGGGATTTGAGGGATGGAGGGAGGGGGTAGATGCTTAAAGTGGATGACAGTTATAATAAAGAAAAGTAATTTTTTGTAAATCCTAAATAAAATTATAGTAATGTTTTTTGTGTTATTTGTAATACCCAAAAGTATAGTCTGGATTAAGCTTCCTAAATTTAGAGCAAATTTAGTTCCTTTCCCACTTTCTAAAAAAAATTATTATATGGCACCAAGAAATCTACATTTTGTATACAAATTCATTCACATAACTGAATCCTCAGCAAAAATCTATCACAGTTTACTAAACTACACAACATAATAGCATTTAATTTAAATAATTTGCTATGGGAAACTTCCCAAAACATTATCTCATTGCTTTATTAAAAATTTTGTAAAAAACTTCTGAGGAAGCATGGTATAAACTAAACACGTCTTTGAAAGAACTAAGATGATGACTCTGACAAAGACCAAAAAACAATGAAGAGACTGGTTCTTCAGAATCTCTCTGGATAAGGAGAAGATAGGAGATTACTCACATGTAGTCTAGGTACAGTAAGTGCTCCTTACAGGGAGATTGCAGGGCAGTAGTCACCTGCAGATTTCAGCAACGAGAGACCAGGGGGGGGGGTGCCATGCTCATAAGTGCAGCAGAGACTTTTAAAGGACACTGAGTTTGCTAACTTTCTTTCTAATCATTTTCAGAAAATTGCTTTTTTTAATTAGCTTAAGGTCATTACAACAGGTTTGAAAAGCTTCCTGGTAAGTTTATCATCTTTTTTGAGCAAAATAAAAATTAACCATAAGAATTTTAAGAATTAGAAATAAATTCAATGCTGATCTAAGAAAGATATAAATCATTAAGAATACAAACACATTTGGAATGTTGAAACTTTTACTTTAAGATTTTGGAAACAAATAAAATAAATAGTGTTTCATAGAAACCAAATTGTTTTGTCTACCTTAAGCCATAATAGAAATCCAAGACTTTATGATTTTAGAAATTGGACACTAGAGGGGATGAAAGATTACAGGCAGAAAAAAGGGGAAAAAGTGTAAACGTGTCTTTGGTTTTTGATTACTACTGGAATTTACAAAATGATATAAAACATTTGAAATCCCCAGGAAATTTTCAAAAAATGGGCTCAGAAATTAGTTACTATAATATTAGCAATGTCAACTATGATGTCTGTTTTCATTAACAAACTATGCATAAAATGTGCTAATGAAGGAATGACAGATGTGAAACAAATTTTATCCGATACAAAAATAGTAAAATCAGAAATATTGGACATCAATCAAACTTAATTAGAAGATAGAGAAGTCAGCTAAAGTAGAAAAACAAATTGCAAGTCAAGGGAATGATCCTAATAAAGACTTTTTACTGGTTACACAAAAGAAGATTAAAACTCTGAAAATCAAAGTGAATTTACAAATGCTAAATCAAGAGAATGATAACTACTTTTTGTTCGATTTAGAAAGTTTTCTAAAGCCTCAAAGAAGCTTTTGGGATAGGAAAAAGAGAAACTGAAGAAAGACCAAATTCTATAACATCTGAATGAATGATATTGTTACAAGTTAAAAAAACCGAATATAAAATTGGTTTGTTTGACCAAGATTAAAATAGGTTTTATAAAGCTCTGGTATCCCTTTATGGACTTTTTGCCGACACCAGGACTGAAATATTAATGATGTATAGATTTACATATAAATAAGGGACAGGTTATAGGAAGAAGAGAGACATGTTTGTAACCTTGTAGGGAGTGAAGAATTATCAAATTTGCCTATACTTGGGGTGAAGATTGGAAGTCACTACTTCATATATTCTATTTCTTTTCTTTTTCTTTCTTTGCACTTTTTATTCTTTCTATTTCTCTTTCTTTCTATAAGTTTAGTTTGCATTTGCTTTTAATAGCGTAATGAAATTATAAAGAAAAAAATTGTAAGAAATTTTACAATTGTATTCTTATGATATTGGCAATGTCAAAAAATCAGTAAGATTTACTTCTGAAAGACATACTTATGAGAATAAATCAGTGGAAATACACCAGAATTAATTGAGAAAACCAAGAAGCGCTATTGATACTAAGAGCTACATTAAAGACTATTTTAAAAAAGTTTTTGAAATGCCTCTATTCTTCAGTAATTATGTCAATCGTTATGTGTTGGCATTTTAACTTTAAACAAAAGTACATTTCTATTGTGAAGCAGATTTCAATATGATAATTCAACCAACAGAAATAAGGTTAAGTAACATAATCAACAACAAATAGCTGTACGAAAGTTCAAATTGTCAACTTGAAATGGTCCTCAGTATCAAGGCTAATCCAATCCAAACTCACCAAAAAGAAGGTATATTCTAAATCAAAATTGTTATTGTTATTGTAAGTATGCATACCATGACATTCAACTTGATTTCTCAGGTTTCTTGTATCAAAGAAAAAAAAATATTTTAGGCCACTAAAGGATATCTCAACCACTTAATCCTAACTCAACATACTAAGCAAAATTCTAACCTGATCCACTCTTACTGCAAAAATGTAATTTACCGCAACCAACAATCACATTTTTGCAAATATTTTAAAGAAAGATTTCAGGTTATTATAAATTGTTATGGTATCACAGAAACAGATTTCTATGATAACTTTGTTTTAGAATTAATCCACCTACAAAATGCATATTACTAGTTCCTGAAAATCAAGGACTGGTGAGAAAAAAAATTTGATAAGAAAGTAAGGAAGAAAAAAATTAGAAGAATGAATAGGAAGGTAATGGTTCCAGATAGAGATGGAGCTTGAATCTCATTGGACTATATGGAAAAAATACTGCACTGATACTAAAGCATTTTCCAAATGAATATGAAATATTAATATAGCAATACATTTTGTACCTTTTTCAGATTTTGCTGGTTCCGCTACATTCTCACCACTCATTAGAACAACAAAGCATGCATCTGCTCGGACTGTAGCTTGCCATGTTGACATGGCAACAGGCGGTTCTTGGCATGGAAAAAGGGCCCTGTTGTTTATTGGAGATCCCACTGTATAAACACATGGTCTGTAGGGAACAGAAAAAGATAAGGAAGTAGTGTGTACTATACAACTCATTATAAGAAAAACAAAGTTGCTAACAGGAACAGAAATTCAAACTATTAATATCACTAAATACACCAGGTCTGAAAAGAAAGGATCATCATACCGGAAGATAATTTCTTCAACCTTAAGTGAAATTTGTATACATTCTGACTTGCTCCTTGACATCTCTGGAGACCGGAGAAGATAGTAATATATTGCTTTTGAACTTATATGAGGTTATTCTGCTCCAAATATTGCAATAGACTAGTTTTGGGAAAAATATTTCTGAATTGACCACAAATTTACCATTACCAAGAATAACCTATCAAGTGGAATATGAATGTGCGAATTTACAAATGGATGCATGTCTGGATAAGCATTAATGGTAATGCATTAGACTTTAGCAATCCTCAGGCCTATTTGTGACCTCTATTTGTCTCTTCTGGCACAGCAATAGGGAAACCAGAAGCTTCCATTTCCATTGAAGGAGAACATATACTTTTAAATTTAAATAATGATAAATCCTAACTACGGTTGGTTAGACTTTAGTTTAGAAAGATTAAAACCAGCAACGCTGAATAGCACAGAAAGGAAAAGGGGGCTGTGGATAAACCAAGGCTTCCTTCTTTAAATATAAGGTTAACAACTGTGTACAAACCAATCCTATGTGTACACGGGGTGTGTTTTTAGAGATAAGGGTAAGTTAAATCGCAAATCTTCTACGCTTAGCACAGTAGCAAATGGATGCTATTTACTTCTATGGTTAACCAAAAAAAGGGTTGTATTCAACAACTAAACTAGAATTTGGCTAGAGCTCCCTCTTCCCTTCGCAAGTTTAGTGTAGCAGATAGATTTTTCTTCCATCCCATCCTTTCTACTGTGTCCTTAATTGTGGCAGAACCCAATTGAGTTCTTCTGAGAATGTAGTATCAACACATTTGGAAGGCACCCAGTTCAGGATGGCTATCCCCAAAAATGACTACAAGAGGCCGAGACCAACAACTGGTTCCTGTACATAAGTCAGCCAAAGCTCCTTGATTTAATTGACTTTTGGTGGTATCCCTCTCCACGGAGACTCTTTAAATCCTCAATCAGTGCTTTCAACCATTAAAACAAAATATGACATCAAATATTTACAAAGATGCACAGCTTGATGACCTTTCCTTTCTATCTTCTAAAGATTTTTATTGCGATACCCCAGCAGGGTATCTCTTCTTTTTATTATGATGTTTACTGAAGAAGAGGAAGCAGAGGCAGCCCACCTGTTACTTGACACATGCCATTATCCACTCCCACACAGAGAGTTTGACAGTAGAACTAAAAATAATCACCAGAATGCCAGAGAATATTTAAGATCATGGAAGCAATTGACAGGCTCCTTTTTCCAAGCTCCTCTCACAAATTTTAGGATAAAACATATGGAATATACTAGTCTATTTATATAAGAACTCAAAAATAATGTATGAGTTGGTTGCTTGTTCTACATAAAGCACTGTGTTTTGCTGATGCATTTTAAATGTCACTCAAACCTGACAAAATAATGGTAGTGGGGGAGGATGGTGTTGATTGCTTTGTTTTTGCTTTCATAAATATTTATGAAGTATTTTCAGTCAGCACAGTTATTCCTCTGCAATGTTTGGAAATGTTTAAATAAACCCCACGGTAGCATAACAATAGAACTACAATTAATGTCTGGTGTATTACCTATCAAGCTAAGAATATGAAGGAGAAAATGCAGGTGCTGTTTAACTACTAAATGCATAATGCTGATGGCAAATAGATATTTCTCTTATGAAACAGGTGTCAGTTTCAATTACTGTTCGTTTGTTTTGGAGGAAAGAAATCATCTGATACATTATTACACAAGTTGGGTGGCTGTTAACAGCTAATATACACTACCACTCTACCCATATTTGAGGATCCTGGGTGAAAAATAAGGGAGAAAAAGACTTGCTCAATGTTTCTTATGGCCATAACACACAGATTCTCTATCATGTGTAAGGCATGAAGAATCAGGACCCCACGTTAATTTCCAGTTAAGATTTATTGCTCATACACAAAATTATTGCCTATATACAAGAATCTAGTCAGATAACGGTCAACACTAAGTTGGCACTAGTTAACAGTTAACAGAACTCAAGATGGGTTGAACTTGTGGGAATGTAATGATTCCAGGCTAATTCCTCTCTTGACTCTGCTCCCAGGCACCTATGATCTGGAACAGTCTCCTCCTGTAGACTGGGCCCTTCAGTAATGATCTTTTGGACAGTGGGGAAAACTGAATTTTTCAGAGAATCTTTGGGCAATGATTGTTTGAAACTGACATTGCTCTTGGTTTTGTATGTTATATTTATTTAATTATAAACATTGATATTGATACATTATTGCTAATTTCTGTGTATAAGGGATTTTTATGCTGTGAATCAGGGGTGTCAAACTCAAGGTCTGCGGGCTGCACCCAGTCCACAGGGTGGTTAGATCTGGCCCACAGGGCCACCCTGGAAACAGCAAAGGACTTGCTCACAGTGCCTCTGCCAGAGAAAATGGAGCTTGGGAGGGCCACACGCAGCCCCCCCCCCCGAACTCCATTTCCACTGGCAAAGGGCTGCAGAAGACTGTCCTGGCCAAAAACATAGCTTGGGAGGTTGTTTTCACTGGCAGAGGGCTCGGGCCACCATAGGCTCCCCCCCAGCATGAATTATGTCAAGCTGGCCACACCCACCCAGACCACACGCCCTCTCCCCCTCCCCCGAGCTCAAATACAACCCTGATGCGGCCCTCAATAAAATTGAGTTTGACACCTCTGTTGTGGATGGTTCATTACAATACATAATTTGTTGAAGCTACCATTTGTTGAAACTACCACGAGTCTTGTGGGAAACAACAACACATAAATTTAATAAATAGTGGTAATAATAATAATAATTCCTTTGACTTTTATTTGAGCAAAACCTAGAGCCCTTTGTTTCGTTGGAACATACCTAACTTAAAAAGTTCCAAAGCAATGATTCAGGCAGGCTGTTCTGTTCTAAGTAAAAAACTAATTCACTTTTGGTTTTAGGCATGCCTTTTATTTATTTTCCACTTTAAGTGCCCAAAGCAATCTAAAGCAATGGCAGCCATATTACATTACTTATATTTTGAAACAAGAACTTCAGTGCAAAATATAATAATACAGCATATGAGAACATTAGTATAGACCAGTGGTTCTCAACATGTGGGTCGGGACCCCTTTGGGGGTCGAATGACCCTTTCACAAGAGTTGCCTAAGACCATTGGAAAACACATATTTTCAATGGTCTTAGGAACCGAGACACCAATTTTATGGTTGGGGGGTCACTACAACATGAGGAACTGTATTAAAGGGTCACGGCATTGGGAAGGTTGAGAACCACTGGTATAGACATTTATACTTTCATTTAACAGCATATCAACGTACTAGAATAGAACACAAAAGTACTGAACAGTCCTCTATTATTTCATATCCCTACAATAGGAATTTAGAGTTTCACTTTATTACACTTTCCAACAATTATAGCAACTACTTAGAGCCCACTTTCCACTTATATATGGGAAGACAGCAGGCAAATTAGAAATGATCTGTTTCTCTTGGTCTGGGAGGTTTCATAGTATTTCTAGCAGGACTTCCAGATTCTGTTAACAGTTTTATTCCTTATGCCATCCGTCTGGTAAACTCGCGAGATTCATTTTTGTTGCCATGTACATGTATACATCCGAACTAGACTGTGTTATTTCTCTGGGTCATATAATAATATATGCATATATTTTTGTTTATCATGTTTATGTGGTGCATATTGGCAGTGATGACCCTTTGAGAGCTGTATGCATTTAATGTATGCCAATTAGTGTACATTTAAACTGATAATAAAGTTATTCTAAAGTCTAAGTTCTAAGTCAAAATGCAATGCTGACACTGAAGGCGTCAGCTCCATATATCTTACCAAAGTTCCTCAAAGTAAGAGTGTCAATGGACCAAACTTATAATTTTGTCTTCCACAGTAACTTGTGCCACTTAGCATTTGTGACAAGGGCTGAGTTTTTAAATCTCCACTAACATAGAAGAGGCCAAAAGGAAGGCAATGGGAAGATTGTATCAGCACACACATGAAGTGTATAAAAGTTTAACTTCTGCAAATAAAATTACATTTAGGTTCAGACGTTGATGAAAAAAATTAAAAGGCCAACATACAGGACATCACTTGCTAAATGCAATTAACTAGTACAAGCATAGGGATTTTCTTCTAGCCATTTTGAAAATACACTGGCCAATCTGAGCATAAAGGCAATCTAGAACAAATTAGCATGTCAAAGCAGAGACTTATAAGCATTTGGAAGGCCAAGATAATCCTAACTTGAGCTAACTATGGTGGAGGAGGAAAGTAACGATTAAAATATGCCAATTATAATTCAATACAATTATTATATATACTTAAGGCCAAATGATAAACTGTAATAGCGTATTTATAATCCTATTTTGATTTTTTTCAAAAGGGTAAACATCATTGAAGAAAAAATTATTTCAGAACTGGGGAACAGGCATCCCAGCTAGCCACAATGAGAGAAAAATGCTGGAACACACACAATGACTTCTTGATGCAAAGCCCACCCTTACAGGCATATCAATATGCGACACAAGTACACAAGGCGTAGGGTTTGCGTTACGATGTTACAATGCATGCTTCATCCCTTTCCTCCTCCTAAGACATCTACAGGTTGTTAAATGTTCCTCTCTTGATACTATTTTCTCACCCTGAATTTACTCATCTCATCTTGGAGTTGTTATTTGCCCATAAAGCAAATAGGAGGGAATCCCATATAGATTTACATTGTTATAGAACAAACGTGTGCAGAGGGGTAGAATCATCTAGGCCAGTGGTAGTCAATCTGGTCCCTACCGCCCACTAGTGGGCGTTCCAACTTTCATGGTGGGCCGTAGGGGTTTCCTGTAACTCTGCTTTATACATTTTATAAAGTAAAGTGACTTCCCTACTTTATAAATCACCATTACTGTGGAACCTGTGGGCGGTTAGAAAATTTTACTACTAACAGAGATACAAAAGTGGATGATAGTTACAAAAAGGTTGACTACCCCTGATCTAGGCATTATTCCTGAGCATAGCTTTGACCCTTTATGAGCATGAGGTCAGGTATCCCTACAATATTGTATAGTTGCATTTATTAAAAAGGAAGCTATTCAAATATCTAAAAGTATAGGTATTAAGCAATTAAAAGACTGCAACATGAATTTATTCCTGACAAAATATTTTATAATCTGTATTACACAGCAGGAATAGAAATCAAGTCAAGAGCTGATAAATAAATAGCCTGTGTGCAATTAAAAGAAGCAAGTTGACATTAATGAAGTCTTGTAAGTAAGATGTGTGGCACCTATACAGTTCATAAGATATACTGGCCTTTGTTGACTCAGAGCCTAGAGGTGATGGAACTCCAATCCAACTAAGGTTACTATTCAGACAGGCTAATATGCTACAAAATTATATTAGGCATTGAAAAACAAGGTCTCGTTAAAAAAAATTAAAACATATAAAATTGCTATCTCATTAAACAATATAATTACATCCTGATCCTTCAAACGTTCCATACATTTTGCATTTACAGCATTTTTAATGCAAGTTCTAATATTCCTAAACATTTTGACTGTTTAAAAGCAAAGGGAAACTGCTTTAGGAAATGTTTGTGTCCTTTATCTAAACTATACCAACAATCATTATCTTGAATATTTTGGCTTATGCAATATATTGGTTGGGACTCACAATGATAAAATCCTCAAAGCTATCACAAACTCTGAAGTTTATCGGCTGTGCTATTCATGCATTTAAATTCATTATGAATGAGATCATCATTCATAATTCAACTGTGTCCCATCTGGAACGTAACACCAAAAGGTACCAGATGCACTCAGGACTGCTGCTTACCTGTCACTTTGATCTGTAGTCCAGCTAAGTGATTGTCCTTCTGGCTTTGTTTTATACCATAATCTTATAGCACGAGGGAAGTCCTTTGGCAGTTTGATCCCTGCTTTCCTGATTTCCAAGCTCCAAGTGTCTGTCGTAAACAGAAGCTCACCACAAGCAGGTGCCTGGCTGCAATGATTGTATCGCTGAAGCTGCTCTCTCCAATTATTTGTTGGTAATGTCACAAGTTCGTGCACAATTTGATTCCGAAGATTTCTAGGGTCCTTAGCAGCATCCATTAACTTGGCAGAGCTTGTACATGTCTCGATGCCTGGAACAACAGCAACATCCACCTCCTCGACCTTTAACACACATAAATCACAGCAGTCCAGGACCAGCAAGAAATCTTCACTCCCATGAATCTCAATGTCACAGCAGTTCTTTGAACTAGAAATCCCAGAAGCCTGTTCCCTGTTGCCATGACTACCGTTTTTATCAGAAGTATCGTTTTCACCTTTACCACAGACAGCAAAATCATTACATCCACTTTTAGTTGTGCGAGCACTTGCATCTGGCACGCCGACCGAGCAGGCTTCGGATGTCGACACGCGGCAAGCTTCCTCAGACCAAGAAGGACTGGCTCCTTCCATCTGCTCACTCTCTCCTTTTCCATGTGTTCTGACAGGCTCAAGGAAAATAACTATGGTGCCTTCTACAATGTGGTTTCTAAAATCCACATCCAGGTCTAAAACATAATGTTTTACCAACATGTGGTTAGTGTTGGCCATCAATGGCAGATCATCTGTGGTGATATCTAGCTCCATTTGTCTATGTCTTCCATGCAAAGGAATCTGACTCAATCTTGCTGTTTCCTATTCAGGCTCTGCAGCAGAAAAAAATAGTCACTATGCCATGCTTTTCACTTTTATAAAAACCTGTTATGTACAATAATACATATGGCCCGCATGACAAAAAAAAAGTGAAGTGTTGATTTAAATTAGGGCTACGAAAGGGAGCAATGTACACTGGAATGTACTTTAATGATAAATAAATCTTTTTAATATGAGAAAATCAATATCAATATAAAAAAATTTTGTTAGTCATAACAGCAAGGTAACTGCAGAGAAATTAACTTTGCAAACAATACAAATGTCATTTACATAATCACCAGAAAACAAAATCAATGAATCAGTACTGCACTTCTGTATAATGTTATCAATTAAAAGTATCTTCTGAAATATAGAAGAACCCACATGAATTTATTGCAGCATTTATTGATATGATCGCTTTTCTAATTTTATAATTTTCAAGAAGTTATCTTATCTGTCATTTTTAAAAGTGTGGGTTTTTTTGTGTATGTGTGTGTGTTCAATTTTTTTTTACTACCAGTTCTGTGGGCGTAGCTTGGTGGGCGTGATGTGGCCTGATGGGCGTGGCAGGAGAAGGATACTATAAAATCTCCATTCCCATCCCCACTCCAGGGGAAGGATACTGCAAAATCCCCATTTCCTCCTGATCAGCTGGGACTCAGGAGGCAGAGAATAGATGGGGATGGGGATAGTCAGAGGTAATATTTACCAGTTCTCTAATTACTCACATTTCCATTATCGGTTCTCCAGAACTGGTCAGAACCTGGTGTGTGTGTGTGTCTGTGTGTCTGTGTGTATCTGTGTCTTTGTGTCTGTGTCTGTGTCGTATGCTTTTCAGTAAGATTTGACTCTGCAACTACATAAGCAGGTTTATGCAGTTTCTTGACAACAGTTTCAGATGTGGTTTGTTACTGCCTTTTTACTTTTGTTCTTTGAATGTAAATAACAAGCATGACTGAAAGCTAAATGGCCTTTACTATTTCCTATACTAGAACAATCACTGACTATACATTACATATCTTGAATGATTACTGTAATGTAGTTTTACATTATGGTTATGTTCCCATATTATTTCCCTATTATTAAATTACAAGAAAAAGAGACTTGGAAGACTAGGAAACTATAAACACTTTTTTGACATTGTACTTGAAGACTTCTGAAATTTATAGCTAACTGTCCCATTCCTTATAATATAGATAGTCCTCAACTTACAACAGTTCATTTAGTGATCATTCAAAGTTATAACACTGAAAAAGTGACCATTTTTCACACTTATGACCTTTGTAGCATCCCCATGATCATGTGATCAAAATTCAGATGCTTGGCAACTGGTTGATACTTATGACCGTTGCTGTGACCCAAGGTCATGGGATCACCTTTTGCGACTTCTGATAACCAAAATCAATAGAGAATCCAGATTCTCTTAATAACCATGTTACTAACTTATCGACTGCCATGGTTCACTTAACAACTGTGGCAGCAAAGATCAGAAAATGGGGAAAAACTCATTTAACAAATGTCTCACTTCAGAGCAGAAATTTTGGGCTCAATTGTGGTCGTAAATCAAGGACTACCTATAGTGACAATCCAGGGGTGGGTTCTTGCCAGTTCTAACCATTTCTATAGAAGAGGTTCCACAAATCTACAGTGCCGTTTAGATCCGGTTCCAGCTCCCTCCCCCCACCCATCTGCACATCATCAAGATGAAGATCAAGAGGAGGAATTCTGGGAGTTGAAGTCCACAAGTCTTAAATCTGTCAAGTTTGAACACCCTGGGATTTTCTTTACTAAAGGGTTAGGGGTGCAAGGGTCTTGTAACTTGACAGCTTTAAGATTTGCGTGCTTCAAATGCCAGAGTTTCTGAGCCAACATTTTGGTTGCTAAGCAAGAGCGTTGTTAAGTGAGTTTCACCACATTTTACAAGTTAGCCATGCCTACCCAGTCGCATGGCTGGCACGACACTCCCACCCGGTCACATGGCTGGCAAGCTACTCCCACCTGGTCACATGGTCAGCAAGCCACTCCCACAAAACAGGCTATACCTACAGAAGAGGTTCTAAAAAAATTTGAAACCCACCACTGTGACTATCCCATTTTCATCCAGATTAGAAATATTTCACAAGAAAAAAAAAGAAAGGACTTTTCATTCAATGTCAATATTTACCTACCTAAAGGAAGAAGAACTGTTGATGAAATTGTCATCCATTAGTTGTTAATTGGTGCAGGTAGTCCTCAGCTTATGACGAGGACTAGAATTTCTGCGGCTAAGCAAAGTAGCTGTTAAGTGACTCACAATGATTTTATGGATTGGTTTTTGACGTGGTTAAGCAAATCACTGCAGTTTTTAAGTGACTCATGCGGTTGCTAAGTGAATCCAGCTTTGCTCATTGACTTTGCTTGTTAGAATCTGGTTGGGAAGGCTACAAATGACAATCATGTGACACATATACCCTGGATGCTGCAACCCTCACAAATACATCTGGCTGACAAGAGTCCAAATTTTGATTGTGTGACAGTGAGGATGATGAAACAATCGTATGTGTGAGAGCTGTTTGTACTTTTTTCGATGCCATTGTAATTTTGAACAGTTGCTAAGGAATGATGGTAAGTTGAAAACTACTTTTAATGATTTTTTTTTGTCCTTTTTTCAAAAGAGAAGAAGGGGAGGGATGGCAGAATCTAGCAAAATTAATGCTACATGAGAATTTATATTCTTTAAATATTCTGGAACTGAATTCCCTATAATCCTTAATTAGTTCTGGTTATGCTTTCTGGAGTTATAAATATTTAAGTCCAACACATCTGCAGAACACTAGGTTAAGAAACACTGTCCTGACATGACTTAGGTTTTGAATATTCCTATGTTTTGCCATTCCAAATAAAGATCTGGAATTCGGTTTTTAATTTCCTTTTCTCAAATCCAAACAATATATATAATTTTCTGTCACTGAGTTGATATCAGGACTCGTTTAGTACTTAAGCAGGCAAAAATGTACTTTTAGAAACCAGTATATTGTAAGTCTACATCTCAATCATCCAGGTCATGCATTACTAACACATTATGTTCCAACTTACATGTGGTTAAATTGAACAAAAAGCAAACCATATGATTTCTTTTGTAATGGTTGGTGACTTTATTTTCAAATCACTACTAAATTGCATGTGTTCCGTTTTATAAATTAAATGTGTGGGAGTGAAGTACAGACAAGTTGAGTAACTGAAATTCATTTGTGAAAAGAAGATTCTTGGTTCATTTCTCCTCTTTCATTTCTTTCGGCCATTTTTAAATGTAATTTTCAATGTGTATCTAAGAAGCACGTGATACTTCACATTTCTATGCTGCAATTATAACACTATGTATTATATACATGAGAGATTTCACGCTGCTCACAGAAGCAGCAATTACTTATAGGAAACCCCCCATCCCGATCAACAGCATCAGATACAAAAGGGACTCCATTGCAGATCTACCCAGCAGAGAGTTGATTAGTTACCAAAAACGATGGAAATCCTTCAGAAAGAGGTGCTTCAGAACATTACAAAATAAAATGGTTTTGAAAGGAAACCATTGAGGGTAGCTTTCATAGTAGCAGCACAAACCTGTTTTCACAATTTGGAAAATATACTACACTTCATATGCATTCCTACTGAATAAAAAGACTTTTGCTAAAGAATTTGCACATCACACAAAAGTATATATTTCTGTCTATCATTGTTTTGTTCAGGAAGGGTGAGATCTCTCTAAGTTAGTTGCCTAAAGACTTTTTCCTGCAAAGCCTCACTACTTTAAATCAGAAATAAACCTTTGTGTTCTTAGCCACAGTTCTCTGAGTAAAGGATAAAAGGCTGGATACACAGTTAATACAAGCCATATACTGCTATTTATAAATGGCAATGGCTGAGTTCACACACTAATCCAAAACCACAGAAATGCATATATGGTAATATTTAGTGATCATATAAAGATATGACATGTAAACTTTCCTTCCAGTTTTTTTATACTTTAACAAGCCTGGAAAATATATAAAGAATGCCAGCAGCCGTTGATCCCCTGTGTTCCAAACAAGGAGCCAAGCATGCGGGCCACGGTGACCACACTAGTTTTACTGGCCATGGAAACCAGAGTGGGCTAAAATACACTAAAAACATCTGTGCTCATTCAAGAACTGAAACACTCTAGCCAATCCTTTAAATTAAAGCCATGTGGATATGACCTAAAATATTTTGAAATATACATACATAAACATACAGAAATATATATTACAAAAATCCTCAGACTTGGAGAACTTTAGTGTCTGTTTTCCAAAGCTATGATCTATGTGCCTGGATAGTTTTAGTGCAATTAGTTTAGTTTTCTAATAATATTGTCTACTGTGAAAGAATGCTGCAAAACCATACTCTCTGTAGTTAGAATTGCATTACAGCAATAGCACTTGGACTTATATACTGCTTCATGGTGCTTTTACAGCCCTCTCTAAGCAGTTTTATATTATTCATTTGATGACAACAAAATTTACTGGCATTTAATTTTAAGACAACTAGGTCTTGTTAAATTGATCTAAAAGCAAGAAATAAACCACAGTAATTCTATACCATCCTCACTTACTACTTCATTCACAGCTACCAATGTTAGGGAATATATTCATATGTATTGTCATTATAGCAGATATTAACCATATTCAGGAAGCAGAAGTGGGGGGAGCTGTTGTGAAGGGCTATACTGAGCTGCAATTTCCTAGGAAGGAAGGAGCACATTCTAGAAATGAGGAGAGGGAGACAAGAGGCAGCACAGCACAACTCAGAGATAGATAGGAGAAAAGAGTTTAAATAGCTAAACCTTGGAGTCTCCCAGGGTATATTCATTAGGCTGATGGTAGTAAGGTTTAGTCTGGCATGATTCTATCTGTTGTGTGTAACTGTAAACAAATAAAGAAGTGAGCCTTGGCTGAATATATTCCATATTGTTCTTGGGCTTAGCTTGACACAAGCTAAGGGCAAGAGATT